ATCTTAATTGAGAATATTAAAATTTTAAAGGATCATATTTAATTTTTCAAACTCAATTGGATGAAATCAGGGATAAAGTTGCAAGAAATTAAAGTTTAGAAGATAATTAGAGATTAAATTAAATAAATTAACATCGAGTAACTTTTTGCAAAAAACATGTAAGTTTGAAGACCCAATTCAATTGGAAATAATTATGAAATTGAGGAAATTAAAAGCTCAAGAGTCAAGTAATAATAAAATTAAAAATATTTAAAACCAAATAAAATTAAAAATATTTTAAACCAACGATCAAGATGAAAAAAGCTTTAAGGGGTCAACCAAGGATTTAATTGAATGAAACAGTGTGTTTTCATGTTGTTTAAACTAAAACGAAGTATTTTAGATCAAATAATTGAATAAAAACACTAAGAGGTCAACCAAGAATATTTTAATGTGTTGATATCAAAATTACATTAAAAATTTAAAATTTAAAAAATTAGTTATTTTTTTATATTTTTAAATTATTTTAATTTGTTAATATAAAACTGATTTTTTTAATAAAAAATATTATTTTAATATAACACTAAATAAAAAATATTTTAAAGAAACTAGCATAATAAAATTAAAAATATTTAAAACCAACGATTGAGATAAAAAAAGCACTAAGGAGTCAATCAATGATATAATTGAATGAAACAGTGTGTTTTCATGTTGTTTAAACTAAAACGAATATTTTAGATCAAATAATTGAATAAAAACACTAAGAGGTCAACCAAGAATATTTTAATGTGTTGATATCAAAATTACATTAAAAATTTAAAATTTAAAAAATTAGTTATTTTTTTATATTTTTAAATTATTTTAATTTGTTAATATAAAACTGATTTTTTTAATAAAAAATATTATTTTAATATAACACTAAATAAAAAATATTTTAAAGAAACTAGCCTTGACCTCACCAGTTGGCAGCCTTGGGGTCCAGCAACGCCAATAATATCTCATCATGACATATTTTATACATCTAGCTCTTTTTTAATCTGATTAACTAAATCAATTTGACATAAAACATGATTTAAATTAAAACATGATAAGATCAATCACTGATTTGACCTGCTAGGGCAGGCTGCATTTAATAATATTAGCAAGTGTTAAGAAGTCTTGAACCCCAACACGGCCGCAGTCTTTGGGTGCGTGTTCATTATGGTGGTGCGATTTCTTTCCCACATGACTCCATACAGAGTACTAGTCACGCATGGAGACATGGAAACTGCACCGCACCGCACTGCAATGCAGTATAACGAGTTTCATGCATCATTCATGCTCATGGTCTGTTCTCCGTGTTGCGTTGAAGGCTGCGGACGTTGAAAAAACTTATGTTTGAGTCCCAGCGTTACGAAGCCTTTTAATTCTATTTGATGAGACTTGAAAAAATCCTCTTGCAAGAAAAATATTGTGATATTTAATTTAATATAATAATATAATATTTAATTTCACACATTCTGGTAAAACTGGACTCGAAGTACTTGGCGGCCTGCGGACACCTCCAAGAAAAATATTGTGATATTTAATTTAATATAATATTAATACAGGTGACTGGGAATAAAGAATTATAATAAAAGGTCAACATATGTGTTTAGAGAGAGAATAAATGATATTATCTAGATTTAAATATTCTTTAAATCTTATTTAAGTCTTATATTTGTATTGAGTCTTGTGTTGTCCACGGAGATAAAATATAGAGAGATGAGTCCTTTTATATTTTTAAATATATTTGTTTATATAGATTTTTTTAATATAAATATCTCTATATATATATATCTAAATTTAAATAGTTTTTATAAATATTTAAGTTATAAAATATTTAATTTTCTAATACCCATAGATAATAGATAATAGGGCATGAGTATCAGTTCAAAAATTAATATTATTGTGTAGTTTTTTTCAATATATTATCATCATAGATAAAAACTGCCTTTTCAATCGAGTTTAACTAAAAAAATTATTATTTTTTATAAATTTTTAAAATAAATATATTTTTAACCTTGTAAAAAGAAAAAAGAAAAAAGAGTAGCCTAAATGTGTTAATTGCAAATTATTTATAAGTTTTTTTTTTATGATTTAACCTTGATTCTTGAGAACCACCTTTCAAGATTAACTCAATCGTGAGTTGATGGCTTGAAATCTGAAAAGATCGGCGCCCATCTTCAGCAACAGAAAAGGTTATATTCAAGAAACACAAAGATGGCCCACTGGATCGTGCATCACCATCTCTCCCCATCACCGTCCATTCTAGCTCCCAAGGATGGTGTAGAAGGTGTTGGATGGCTTGACCTTTGAAGAAAGACTTCAAAGGTATCTAATAGTAGAAGGTATGTAACTGATGGTCGGTCTGGGTGCAGCAGATCTGACCTTTCCCCATGTCTACGTGTTGTTTTTTCTACGTTGAAAGTGATCATCTTGCAAACCAGGAAAACAGAGACCTGTTGAGGTTTATTCCTGTACATGGTTGTCGCACCTTATTCGGGTGAAAATGATTTCAGCCATTAAATTACTAGATCATAGGGTAATGTCATAGTTAATCCAGTCAACATTTTTATTTAAATAAGATATTTTTATTATTTTTTTAATATTTTTAATATTTAACATTTTTAATATTTTTATTTAAATTACTAGATAAGATATTTTTATTATTTTTTTAATATTAATCCAGTCAATTAAAATAACTAAATTTTATCGAATCAATATTTAATTTAATTTAATTAAAAAAATATCAAATTAAATTAGATTGTAGGCGAAAATCATGAATTTTATACCTCAATATGTCATGTAAGACTAAGTCTGGCCATAGCAATCACCATCACATCCAATCTTCGTGATATCTCTTGGATTCAACAAGTCAAAAAAACCCAAATGACAAGATTTTCATCATAACTTCGTTTCTTATATTTTAATCCAGTCGAGTGTTGTTGATTACTGTGGAAAATAGGAAATATATATGTCATCTGCACCGAAATTAACCTGGGACGGTAGAGAACATGATGCTGTAGCTAAGAAATTGAAGAAGACGATTTCAAAGTGGAGAGTATAACCAGGATTTTCCCTGCTCCTTTTCATCCCAGAAGCAAACACAAGACCCTATAAAATTGGTGTGTACTGGTCCCTTTCACAAGAAATTGTCAAGCTCCTGCTGAGGACTTGTCGAGAAACACTAGCAGACCAGTGTTGGAATGGGTGGTGCATACAGCTTGTCAAGCAAGATCGCAACATTAGGTAGAAAGTGAGAAGACAACAAAGAACGAATTAATTTGATTTCACGGAACAGAAAAGGGCCAATCATGATCCTTGCTTTGCTGTAATTGAAGACCTTTTCAACCACCCTAGAGTTCTGTAACTTTGACACAGAATCATTCAAACTCTTTAAGCAACAAAAACACAAAAAGAGAGGAGGAAAACATTTTCAACCCAAAAGAGGGTGAAGATATAGGGAACTGCAATTCTAAGTCTTGGACTCGAATCCATGATGACAACGACATCATTTTCAACAATAATAAAAAAACAATAACAGAGGTTTGGTAGCACGGCAAACCGCGCACTTAACATCTCTACCAAACAAAGCCTTACTTCTATTCAATGTTCATGTTCATGTTCATGTTCAATCCCATCTAACACTTTAATCATTATAAAGTCGAAAACAACATTATCACCGCAATTTTTTTTTTATTAAAAAAAACAGAAAAGAAAAACCCTTCTCTCGGCCTTGATAAATTAATTTGTTGCTCTCTAGCTCCCTTTACAAGTTCCTACTGACATCAAGGTATGCCTTTTATCCAAGATCCTCCACCCACCTAAACTTCACTTCACTTCAGATTGCTTGCTTTTTGTATTGAAAAGCACCCACTATACTTCAAGGAATCCAAATCCCACTCAACATAACCCTTGAACCAAGCTCTTGACTTCTTCTTGTTGCAATGCATGAGATTGACATTTCATGGGGCTTGAAGGGAAAGAAGTAGGCAGGAAATTGAGTAATTTACTTGCAAATTGGGTTGCAAAGACGATGGTGGGGTTGACTTCGGCAATGTAAATAGTCAAGAAAGTGAAGTAGAAAATAAATGTCCCCGAGTCAAGCAGCATTTTTGCCATTATAATGAATTATACATCTCCATAAATATTATGGACTTGGCAATGAGAGATCTCACGTGAGAAGACCATCTTGAAAACCTGAAGCACGAAAACGCGTTAAGTGATTGAATCGCACAACTCCAACAATCTCTCTCTCTTTCAAGCATGGCTTGATTAATCTTAAATATTGACGAGGTTGACAATCATCCCATGTACATAATTTTCTTTTATTATTGTTTGCTTAGTGTATTGTATTTTCCATGAATAGCATCATGTAGCTTACCCCCATAGGCCTTTTGATCTCAATTATTTAATTAAGGTAGCGTGAGCAAATTCGAATTGAAGTTGCAAGCCTCGTATATTTCGTCAAGGAATATAGAGTCCTATTATAAGGCTAAAAAGTCATAGATTAATTCCTAACTCATTACACAAACACATGTTGCTAGCTTGGACAAAACACTCCTTAATTAATGCCTATCTGATTATATAATTAAGAATTTAGAGAAGAAGATGATGAACATGCCAAAAGCCGTGAGAGTTAGCACCGTTTCGCAACGCATTGCTGGCAAGAACGCCCGCGTTACCTAAGGGGTACTTGGTTTAAATTGTTAAGTATACATGTATTAACTTGAAGACAAGAGGATGCCATTTTTATAAATTTTAATCTGTTTTTAATATGTTTTCGACAAGATTGAAAACTTAATATTAATGAATCAAAATTGACCTACAAATACCACTATACTGTCTAATTAAAAAAATAAAAATACAACAGGTTCATTTGACTAAAGAAATGGAGGGTGGATCCACTATCATATCTCCCAAATCTCAATTGTTGCATCTTGTGTCCGCGCGTGCACGTCCGCACACCAAATTATTCAGCCATAGGGCGTTGCCTCATAGCGAATGGGCATGACTGGCGGACTTCTTCAGAATCCTTAACAAATGACAGGGCCAAGCCTTTTGCCTGGCAGTATTGCCTCCCCAAGCACAGCAAAGCCCTAGATGATCATTTTTATTACCTCTCTACAAAGGAGATAGCATTTTCAATTCAAATTTGGTGGGATATCGTCAGATGAGCAGTTAAAAGGCCTCCAAGAAAAGATGGGCGATTTGCTATGTGCTCTGTGGTCAAGTTCTTGTAAACCATACCTACTGAAGCAAGCTGGCATCTCCTCCAAACCCACCAACCTTACCCCGAACGGATAGCATTACTCCATTATTATATCTGCTCGGCAAATCACGAGCTCGCTAGGGCATGCTTGCAGCATTAAATTCTCAACAGTGGCCATAGATATTTTGTATGTGGTAGGCTTCTTGCCACGTGAACAATCATGTTGTGTAGCAGTATATTATCTGTCTTACAGTTCTGCTCCAAATGTGAGAGGCTAGTGGCAAAAGGTCAGCGAACTACTTCCAAAGGAACAGCAAATCATTGTGAAACCAAGGCTGCTGCCGCTGCATATGGTACCACGGAAAATCAGATCCGGAAATAATTCAATAACTTGTTCATTTGGGGGCGTGGGGCACAGGAAGATTTATATCAAAGTTTAAGACAAGGTCCAAGATTATCCAGCTTGTAAGTCAAGAGCGTTAGCTGGCTGTGCATTACCTTATTAGTGTCATGTTTGTTGATATCATCGCAAAATTATTTCATAGATCTCAAATCCAAGGCATGCAGCGCATCTAGATCTATTAGTTTTTCTCAATGAGATTTTCTGGTTACAATCCTGGGGGGAGCTATTCTGACTGGCAAGATTGATTATCTCACCTCCCATGGATGCGGCCATCGAGTCCGGTTGTGGTCCAACTGCTAACACCCTAATTCGATTCATAAACAGACACAAGTGGAACCAGGCCCGGATTGACAAAACACAAAATCTTGTTGTTTGCATTAGCGCAGTAGTTTCTACAACAGGAGTATGATCTCATGAAGCCCAGTGATAGGCCGACAGCCACTAAACCCTGCTCATTGTGGTTTTCCTTGTTTTCACTTTGCTCCCTTTGTCTTCTAGGAGACAGAAGGAAGATTCAATACTGATTCTTTTCCATAATTCCATCAAAGATTTGTGCAGCAATCATTCAGTATTTCGATAATAATAAAAGAAACTACAAAAATGTACAGGCAATCGTCAAGTGCCTAAGCAAGAAGTATATAATGAAGAAGATAATTGGAGGCTAATACATTGCATGCCATATGCATACATAGATTAACATACAAACTGGATTAGTTATATTCATAGGAAATCTCATTATATTGAATCATCAGAATCATCTGAATCACTTCTCTCAGGCTCCTCTGCGTTAGCTGTTGTTTCTGGCACATCAGGCTTTGCTTCAGGAGCAGGCTCTGGTTTCTTATTTGCTTTGTGAGCATTCTGATCACCTTCTTCCTCTTGCTCATTAGCTTCAGCATGTAAAACTTCAGTTAAGGATTTACTTGAATGGTAACTTAAACGTTTTGACATTCAATCAAAGAATGCAGTCAATACACTATAACAAGTGTGACTCCACTGAAATGAGTCTCCCTTAAATTCTCTTTTGGGAATGTTGCCTTCCCTTGCTCACAAAATGAACACAACCAAAATTTAACTTTCGGAGCATAATCCACTACTGATTAATGCAGGTATGACTGAGCTAAGGTTGGTTAGCAACAATTATTAGTGCAAACGGTGGTGCTTTTTGTGTTGCAGTCCCGCAGGATTATAATGCAAATTGGACAATAGAAAATTGCCCGTCAACCAAAAGCATCCCTAAAGTTTTGCATGCTTAATAAGGGGAGCTAACCCTAACTTTTCATTTTTGCAATAAATATATACAATTCACAAAGAACACACATGCTGACCCTTACTGGAATCTATACCCCTTGAGCTAATCTAGAATAGCAGAACCTACGGCTTGGTAGAAAGTGGACAATTTTTAGTTCTCTTTTAGCTGAAAAAAAAAAAAAACTGAATTCATGCATGATACAATAGGATATCAGCATTTTCGACTGTCCCCCCTGCCATGATGTTTAGAAGATCTTTCTCAACACGCTGTACAAGCTCAGGCTGCAGAAGGTAATATAGACATAATCAGTAAAGACAATAGGGTGAAAAGGAAAAAAGAACAGCACTGTAACAGCACAAGTTAGATCTCAAACCACAAAATATTTCTTGCAATCTTAGTTTCAACAACATAGTTTTGAGAGTAGGAGATCACACATACATTGAGGTCTGGCTCCCTGCGAAATCTTCGCTTTCGAGCATCCCTCATAGGAGGAGTGAGCCCATGTCTGTACTCCACCACATCTGGAGCAGTGTCACCAGCTTCTCTAACCATGAGCATCTGCCAAATTAAAACAGATAATATTGCAGCAGGTATAAATGATTTACCCATCTCTTATCAACAATATAAACCAAAAGCTCTAACAAGTGTTAATACCTGACCAATGTCTGAAGTTTTTACTAGTGCACAATCATCATATGTTTTGTAGGACTCTACAGCACAAGGAAGATCCAAGAGAGATGCAGGGAAATGTTCATCACCAATGACAAATGTGCCACTCCTTCCATCCTCTGCAAAACAGGATATTCCATGTTTATGAGCAAGCAAAGACTCTAGGCCAAAAGAATGATTTCCTTACTACATAATTCTCAATCAATTTTCTCTTCGGTAATAGAAGAATAGAATTAGAAGAAATAAAGGAAGAAGATAAATAAGGGAGAGAGAAAATAAGTGTTTTAGAGCTGTGGAGAATGAACACCACGTTGCTATGACACCGGTGGCTGTATCATCTTCTCATCATTGCTACCATTCAAACCCAACACATAATGGAAGTGGCAATTGTAACCAACATAAGAAAGGATAAAAAACTCATATATAAAAATGTATTGACAATAAATTAAAGGTATTTGGTGGAAAATAGAAACTGGCTACAGATTGATACATGTCCTTCTCCTCATACCACATCAATGCTAGAACGCACGCTAGGTGGATGAGAAAGGGTCTAGAAAGAACATTTGAAGGACATATAGTTTCCAAATATAAAAGGAGGCAGTTTGCTGCATAGTTACTATCATGATAGAATTTTTATGCCACCCAACTCAAAATTAAGAAAACCACAACAGGATCCATCCCAAATGGGAAATTTTCAACATGAGCTCATTAGAAGCAATAAAAACACAAAGCACGACTCTGTTCACAGAGCCTTGCTTCCAGGTAGATAAGTAAACTGAAGTATTAAACTGCAAAATCAAAATTGAAAGGGTAGAGAACGAAGGCCGAATTTAGGGACCATAAGCATGAAGTAAACATGAAATGCATGCTGTCACTGCTTTTATACATTCCAACTCAAACACCTGCAGTGAAATTCGAAGGCAAAACCAATTTCCATTTTTCTTCCTATATATGATTACGAGGAGAATGCAGGAGGAGAAAAAATCCCCATGGTCAATGAAGGAACAATACACTGTGGATTGAATCAATGGTAACACCTAAAGCACTATACATGTAACAACCACCAAAAACAAACAAACAAACAACAACAAAATATATATACTATAATAAACAAAATCCTCTCATAAAATACAAAGAAAGTATGCTCTCACCTGAAAAAGATAAATCCAAAGATTGCTCCTCAGAAGAAGAAGCAGTTTCACTCAAAAGGCGATTCAATTTCTCCGCAATAGAAGGTGGAACTCTTAGTATAAACTGTTCCTCCATTCCTACTTCACAAAAATGCAATATCATATCAATCTCTACATACTTTAATAATCTATCCCAAATCAACGCAAGTAAACTCTCCTCAAAAACCTCCAGAAAGTAGTTATCATTTTTTTTCTAAGGATACAGCAATTTAAACTAGATATACTTGGATAAAAAAGAGTTTAACTTCAATGACAGAGAGAACAAAACAAAAGGATTAGAATGTGCAAGAAATGGAATTCGAAAATTCAAAAAAGCTCTGAAACACAAAATTCTCTCTGAATTCAACATAGATAATAATGGAATATTAATGATTTTTAAAAATAAAGAATTTAATTAAAACGCCACCTAAAAATGCAAGCTAAAACCTCAAGAAGACAAGAACAACCATGCACACATGCATTTTAATCTATAAATAAATAACAGAACAGAAATCAATCAAGATAAGAATTAAAACCCAGTTAATATCTTCAGAAATAATCAAAATCCAATTTACAATATACCCAAAATTGTTCAAAATAAGCATGGATGGATTAAAAGAAATTAAAAAGGAATCATCCTTTGCTCGTTAAAATATTATAAAAAAAGAAGCAAAGTGTTGTTAACCTGCATAGAGAGCTCCTCAAGGAGATGGGAATGATCAGCTTCTCCTTCTCCTGCTTGAAAAGAAGCAAACGTCGCTGTTTCCACAGAGATCGCGCGCGCGCGCGCATATATATATATATATATATGAGACTCAAGGCAGTGACTCTCCTCTGTTCTGCTTACGCTCGTATCCTTAAAGTTTTTCCTTTCTGGTTGTGTAAACTACAAATACACCCTCCATTTGTTGGGTATATTTCCATTTGATCCCTGTACTATTGATTGCACCAAGTTCACCCTCGATACATTCTAACAAAAGCTAAAATAATACCATGTTTCACGAAGCACACACATATATTTTATTGCCAATTTTTACAGTAAAATTACTGTTTTATCTTTAACAATTAAAGTCTTATAGGATGCTTCCAGGGATAATATAGTATTTTTATAAGATATATCTGTTATTACAAGATTAAATGGAATAAATAAGTTTTTTAATCTTTGATTTACACGATGTAATATCTAAAATATAATTAAAAGATGAATTTCCTTCACTACAAGGGCATTTACAGATTTTACTTTAGCATAATGTAGTTATTGAAATGCCCTTAAAGTCAAACATTCTAAAGTTAAGATAGAGGGTTTTTTTGGTTTTTTATTATGTTTTTTTATTAATATTATGTAAGCTAAGAGCAATTATTTTTTTTTAAAAAAAAAACAATATTGCAAGTGTGTTAGCATGTAAGAGATATTCATGATTTTTAAGTGATGCCTGTAACACCATTTGGTGACCAAACAACATATTTTAAGGAACTGTTTAAAGTATTTTGTCACTCCTTTCACCGGAATCTAATGTGTGTAGTCATTATATATACAGTGGAGCTCCAGCAACGTTTTTTTTATTTTCCTTTCTTTTCCCCTCTTTAACCTTGAAAAATGTGTAGTCCTTGTAAATTTCATTTATTTTTTTTAATTTTATTCTTTAACTTTTAATTTTTTAATCAAATTTATTATTTTATTTTACAATATTTCATGTTTGACCCTAGTGTTTTGATTTCTAATTTATATTCCTAACTTTTCTATTAAATTTTAATTTCTTTTTAATTTTATCATTGAATCGATAATCATATTTTTTTTTATATTGATCCTCATTCTCTAGATTTTTATTTTTAATTTTAGATTATTTTATAAATTTAATTTTACTTTTCAGTTCAGTTCAATTTGATGACATTTAAGATTTGATCTTTGATGTTTTAATTTTTAATTTTAATTTTTAGGCCTTTCATTATTATTTTTTTAAATGTAGCCTTAATTTTTTATTTTATTTTATTTTGGATTTATTCATCTATTTGATTTTTCTTTTAATTTTTCTTTTAAATTCAAATTTTTTATTTATATTCTCAAATCTTTACTGATCAACCTGCCAAGCGACACAGAGATAACAACTATGTTTTTACTTCACCGACGATCATGCTAACAAAAGAAAGAGATTGGCGTCAATTTTCAAATAGCATATGAAGGTGGCCGGGTTGGATGGTTTTACTTCACTGATGATCATTCATATCCATAATTTTTTTTTATATTTTTTTATTTATTTATTCTACAAACATATTCATTGGATGTTCCATATAATAAATCAAACACAAAACAAACAATTACCACTGTAATTTGGTTTTTAGAAGAACCGCAATTTCCAATTGCAACATTTAAAAAAAAAATATTTTTGAACTAGAAATTAGCTATTTTTTTATTTTAAAAAAAACCATAATTCCAACATTTAT